AACCTGCTGCTCCCTTTGCTTCACAACCCTTCCCACTGCCTTCTCATTCCCCACATCCTGCTCTTTGAGGCTCCCTAAACAAATCACCAGGTTCGCTGGGGCTCCTCTTACTTTCCCCATCCATTAAGCCCTTCTGCTCAGAGAGGTTAGTCCACCGAGCAGCCTTCTGACAGCGCCCACACTGCACCCCAGCAGATCCAACATCTCAACACTGAGGCATCAACATGTCATTCCTCTCCTCCTGCCAGGCCCACATCAGCGGCGCCTTCAGCAGTGGGGAGAAGAGCTGCCATGGTCACTCCTCACACTCACAAATGCAGCGACACAAAGAGCAATGTGCCCTTGTGGCCAAGAGGGCCCATGGGATCCTGGGCTGCGTAGGGAACAGTGTGGACAGCAGGTCGAGAGAGGTCATTCTCCCCTTTTCTTGGCACTGGTGAGGCCACCACTGGAATCCTGCGTCCAGGTCTGGGCTCCCCAGTTCAAGAGAGACAGGGAACTGCTGGAGAGAGTCCAGCGTAGGGCAACAGAGATGATGGAGGGATTGGAGCATCTCCCTGATGAGGAAAGGCTGAGAGAGCTGGGGCTCTTGAGCCTGGAGAAGAGAAGGCTGAGGGGAGACCTTATCTACGTTTACAAGTATCTAAAGGGTGGGTTGGAGGAGGATGGAGCCGGACTCTTTTCAGTGGTTCCCAGTGACAGGACGAGGGGCAACGGGCACAAGCTGGAACACGGGAAGTTCCACTCCAATCTGAGGAAGAACTTCTTTGGGGTGAGGGTGGCAGAGCCCTGGAACTGCCCAGGGAGGGTGTGGAGTCCCCTTCTCTGGAGATCTTCAAGACCCACCTTGATGCAGTCCTGAGTGATGTGCTCTGGGCAACCCTGCTTTGGCAGAGGAGTTGGACTGGATGATCTCTAGAGGTCCCTTCCAACTCTGACAATTCCATGAAAGAGGTTGAGGAGGACACAGGAGTCCTGGCACCTCTTACTGAATTCCTCTACCAAGGATCATACCAGTCACAGTGATGCCCACAAACGCTTTCAAGTAATATTCTGCTTTGACAGTGCTGTCCGAAGTAACTATGATTACCCCAAAGACACAGTGTAGGTTACACACTGACCACGGTGACCAACAAAGTCAATCGCAGTGCTCACCAATTCTGCCAGCGGCCAAACAGGAACAATGCTTGACCTCTCAAAAATCCTCCCAGAAGCTCTTTTCCTCCAGGCAGAGAGAGGTGCAGAGCTGAGCCTCCTCCTGCGCAGGCACAAACCCACCTCCCAACTCCCACCCAGCACTGACCCGCTCAACGGCACCCGAGGACCAGAGCGACTCCTCAGTCTCTGTCTCCAGTCGGTCCCTGGATGTGCTCAGAGCCTCCCAGCCCAGGCTCCTTCCTCATCCACACAGAGCTCTCTCTGACCAGGGATGGACCTTCTCTGATTTTGGCCAAAAACAAACCAAAAAGGTTATGGCTGGAATAAGGCAGGAATCAAAATTCTTCCTATGCCTTGGAATTAAATACATTTCTACATAATGTCAGCAAAGACTATTAATAATTTTGGCAATGACAGAAATGCGAAATTGCTCCAATTCCAGCTTGGGTGTTGTTTTTTCTTAGATCACTGTCAAAGAGGGATCCTATTTCCCAAAGAATCTCCGCTTTCTCCACAAAACATCCAGGACAGCTCCTGGACTTGTAAAATTACATGGAACTAAGACAGACAACTATTCTTCACAGCAGCAGCCACCAGCATCCATTCAGTTTTCACATAACAAATAAAAAATTCAAAAATTCTGAAATAGGATCTACTTTCAGTACTTAGAATTGCAGCTCTCCTCGATTTCTGAGCAGTGAACCATGCCTCGAACACAGCACCATCAACCAGGCCGCCCAGGGGGACCCTTTGGGGAGAAACGAAGCTCCTGGGGCCATAGGCAGGAACAGCTGAGGTATTCAGCCAGGAGAAGACACAAGCATGAAGCTGGGGTGTGCACAACACTAAGGGTGAGAAGACCTGAAGCAACCCCTTGCCTGATCACAAGGCTTGAGGGCCATGCCTGCACAGTAAGGCCCGCATGAGGACGGCGAGGTGTCCTTTCATCTCAGTACCGTCACCTGGAGGGGCTTTAGCCTGTGCGCAACAAAAACACCATAGGACATTGAATCAAAAACAAAACAGGGTGGCCTGTAGAGACCTTCTGGATCTGCTGTCCCAGCTCCAGACACCAACGTGATGGGCCTCAACTTCCATGAAGACTTCTCCCCTCCTTCACCAGTCTCTACCAAACTCCCCAACAGCAGATACCCTTTGAGAAAGAGGAGCCCCCTCCAAGAGCTCTCCCCTCAGGCCAGCCTGCCCAAACACATGCCTTCTGGCCACGGTCTCCAAATCCCAAAGCCTCTATGGCTGTCCAGAGTAGCACTGCCATGGTCCCCACAGCAGTGAGAGTTGTCCCACCTTCTCTTGCTCCCACGAACCTCCCTCACAGCAGCAGTTGCACAAGCCAGGTCAGAGAGCGCTTCTGGCTGAAAGTTAACTGAGCAAAGCTTTTTTTTACAAAACATAATTACTTGTTTCCAGCTTAATGACTTCCCTGCTCCACCTCGCCACATCATTTAAGCCAATTAAATCAAGACTGACGCAGTCCTACCTACTTTTCTCCCCACCCAGCAATACATTCCTGCACCTCCCTTGCGCCAGCAGTTGCCCAACCCCACCACGAACAAACGCTGGGCATCCAAACTGCTGAAAACTCACCGCTTGTTGGTGGGTTTGCTCTGTGACAACTCGGCTCACCTTGCTGTCAACAGGACAGGTGCCAGGGGCAAGGCCACCTCCAAGAGCAGCTGGGCCTGCCCCGCAGCCTGTGGACACCTCCAGCCCCTTCCCATCCCACCCCCAGCAACAGAGTCCTCCTGTGATGGAGCTTCTTTACTAGTTCCAGAAACCTGCCTTCACCACCACCATCACAGCAACCCATTCCTCCAGAGCCCACCCAGGATCCCACCCTCCACTCCTCCCAGGGCGTGCGAACACTCAACCCTGATCTTCAAAAAAACCACCAAAACCCCAAACCCTAACACCAGTTTTCACCACAAGCACTCGCGTATCATCAAACTAACCCTGTTGTCCTGAATTCCTATTTAAACTGCCACTTTGCAACAGAAACAATTACCCTTCCTGCACCTGGGAAAGGCCAGAGATGCTACATCCGAGCGGGCAACCCCAGCTCTCGAGCCAGGGTGCAAACCCAGCTCCCAGCCCTGAAGATACGGGGGATTGAGGGGAACTATGGATAAACAGGAAAAACAGGGGTTGGATGGAAATACAAGGGGCAACACAGAGAGCAGGAGCTGCACTACAACAAGGCTATTTCTTGTTTTATCACAAATATTTAGGCATAGCACAGTCAAATTTTTAATCCATACATTTAATTCACAAGATCTGAGAATCTGATTTTTTTCAAAGGTGTTGTAAACACGGATAACAGCATCTTCCCTGGGCCCAGCAGGTACCCGCTCCATCCAGAGAGCGCCAGAGCTTCATAGTGTGGAAGCTACAAACAGCAAAAATCCACCTTTTCGTTCCAAGTATACCAAAGGCTTTAGTTTATATGATCAGTTCTCAGCCCAAATAGGTCCCCGTCAGTCTTGGTGCAGTATGTCCCAGCAGGACACAACACACACTACAGCAAACCACGGTGACAAACAGTATTTGCTGAGAGCACCTGCACCTCTCACATAGGGAGCAACCTTTCCTTCTTCTGTTAAAAAAATAAAGAGTTCCCAAAACAGGGCAAACAGCTTCTTTGGTATTACCATCCGTGTATTAAATTAAAAAATAAACCAGCACTGCATCCCCCCAGCCTGATGAAGCCTAAACTGTTGCTCAAGTAGAAAGTATTTTTCAGTGGTCCAACTTTAAAGGAACAACTCGTAAGCTGTGGCCTCCATGAAAAATAAATATCCACCGTTTTTGCAAGACTGCTAAACCGTCCACGAGCACAGGCGGGAGCCCTGGCAACACCACCCTGCCAGGACACTGTAAATTTCCATCAGAGTAAAGAAAAACTGAACCAGAAGTTCCCCGTCGCGCTGTCGGGACCAAAACATCTGCCTGGGGACAGACACACACACACAGACACCGAGGGAC